AGTCGTCTAGCTTGCAGTTAGACTTCAAATAATCAAAGTGAATAACTAGCCTACAATAATCCGAGTTATTTGCACTACCATTTCGACGTTATTGCTTAGTATTGAGTGCATCGCTCCGCTTTGCGAGGCACAAGTGTTAGGTTGGAAGGGTTGGACGACTCGACAAAACCGAGTAACCTTAGCTCCTCCGTAAAGCCACTTCAGGACTGTACAAAGGGTCACGCCGACTTATATTCTACGTATTCAGTTCCTGTTGAAGGAACTTCGGGCTTTGCATTTCATTCATGAGTGTTTGTATGCTCCTGATTTCTCGCCACTAGATTTCCTTCCACATAGGAACCGCATTATGGCGACGTGTATGGCGGAGCAAAGAAGGTTGTAGATGTGGTAAGTGCCGGCTTTTCGTGCCTCTGTGTCTTACCATTAGGAGCATACTTGTGCTGGTGGATTTACTGAGTGCTGGAATCGCGCCAGGTAACGAGTCCACAGCGTATATGAGACTCAGGAACGTTTGCGTTGCTGATACTGTGTTTTCTCAGTTATACTTGTACCTTTCACCCTTCTTCGGAGCAGTAAAGTCCCTAGAATATTTGCTAGTCGGCTCACGATTGTCGCCGCTTATGTTCCCATTGGATTGTTGAATGTTACGTTCCGGTACGAGTAGCTTTTTCTTGAGAGAGTGTTACCGTGACAGTTGTATCTTCTTAATGGGAGGATCGCTCGCAAAAAGAACTTGATGCAGAACCGACGATTTCGCACTCATTTAGAAATATGGTTGGATCACGCAATGGCTGGGTCTTGTATAAAAGCTACTACATAAAGAGTAACAGCTAGTGAAGTCGAGAAACATTTCCGACAACCATTTACGAGACTTCTTCGATCTACTTGCGCTGCCACTCTTAGGGCGAGAGCTGTGGTGTTACCCTATGCGGTTTCGGACTCGAGGGCTCACGACGCTCGACTTTACGACACAATTTGGTTCTGATCGATGCTTGTTGGCGATTTGATGGCCTAGTGCACTGATGACTCCGGATCTGGAGTGCCTTACGGGATGAGGTCGCCGGCGCACAGACGGTCACAACATAGATTCTGGTATAGAGAGGTTCTGAATAGGCAGAGTTGACTCTAGGGAAAGTTGAGGGGCTACTGGCTGGATAGATATAGTAACTGCGCTCCCATCAGCCCACGTCGTAATCCTAGCCGTTGCAAGAGTCAACCCAGAACCGTGAAGACTTTTTTCGGTTTCGTTCTCAACTCGTTCTCAACGCTTCATAGTTTCTCTATGACCCAGTAAACGCAACAATATCTCATTTAGAAACCAAAACTGTCGAGAGAGCTCTCACTATTTAGGCACTGTACTCGCCGTTCTCAAACATGTACCTGCAATATTTCTTTTTCGCTACCATGAGGCAATCAGCTTTTGGCATAGAGCGCGCCCTTTCATTTTACAATTATCCCCAGCACTGAGTCACCAGAGGTGCAACGAGTAGGTTTAAGCATGGAAATTTGGGCATCCAGTCCATGGAACTTGTGGAGCTACTATGAACATGTACAATCGGCAGTTAGACTTTCTCTTCTTGGTTTTTCACGTCCTGTTTTCTCAAGATGCTCACTGTTGATAGGACGTTTAGTAAGTTGGACCCTCAATAGTTACATGTCTACATGTGTAGTCATCGCATCGTATACTTCAGTCAGAAACCTGTTTTTGGTTCAGAATGTACGACTCCTTGCTTAGTATGTAGGAGGGTCTCTTGGGATGCACACTTCGAAAATCTAATGACCGTGACGACCTGATTTAGTAATTTTTACTTACATTTAGCGGAGTACTATCGCTCTACTCATAATATACAGTTCCGAACAGAGCTCGTGTAAGTTAACCGACTTTTCAAACATCGGTCTCAAATAAACTATTTTAACCACCTATGTCACATGTAACAAGTACAAAAGACATCAATGGTATTTATTCAAGTAACTAGATTATTACTGCTTCATTAAGGATGGTAATACCTCGTAAACTTATCATTACCAGGAAGTTACCTGTCGAATAGACAAAAAACAACAGGCAGAGCTCACCACTTGGGCAAAAGTAGAGCGATAGCGCTAAGCACTAATCTCTTCGAGGTTTGAACAAGTTTATGAACTGTGTTGTTTCTTGGCTTTGTACATAACTGGGACACAGATCCTTTTCCGAAGGGAAGTTTTCTTCAACTATGTCTCAGTGTAACCTAGTCCGTACAGTAGGACTGAATAACGCAACGGGTAGGGTGACAAGGCGGTATTGGAAGATAAATATACATGTTATTTACTGGCAGGTAAATTTAGTCGGAGAGCTAGTGTAAGTGTTTATAAGTCCTTACTGTGTTCAGCCGTTCCCGGTTTTTTACGAACTGTATTGACGTTAACTACACCGGGAGACGGTTCGCAAATATTCATTGCCACGTGGTTTGTACGGGTATCTAAGACATATTCAGTACTCTAAAATGATGTAAATAAAAGATAGTTTCTAAGCCGAAGCGGCGAACACCAGTATGGGGGTCAGTACAAATATGCGGTCTAGACGGAATATCGAATTTCTAGAATCCATCTCTCTTCCAAGAAGTAGTGTTCCATTCCAGAGGCAGACACTATAAGCCACGTCCCGATCTTTTATCTTTAAAATTTGTATTCATATGTATGAGTCCGGAGCCTCCTAGTACTTATTCTACTTCTGAATGTTCGCTCATAATTTTATAGGTTAGGGAGGTTCACATGTTCAAAAACGTAGACGTGGGTTTCGACTGCGTGCGCTCGCTTTAGGCTGTGGTGAACAACCCTACTGCGTAAGTCTGTAGCCTGGCAGACACCACTAAAGATCTAACATCTTTTTGTGCCCCTTTAGGGTCAGTAAATTTCTTTCTCTACTTCAACAAAGCTGAAACTCAAGGCGGGTCGAAACAAAGACAGGTCGATCTAGTTTACACTTTCGACGTTGCACGGTTATAATATTAAGCAAACCAAAGAAAACTTTTAAAAACAGTGAGTGTCTGCGACAGGACTAATGCGTCCAAGCACGTTTGAACTAGGGTACAACGCTGACTCGGTGACTGATCGACTTATCACGTGAGCTGGTTCAGCAGACCATCTTCACCGTAGCAAAGCGGTGGCTTTGTTGGGATTAGCAAGTTTATAAATCGACTTAAGTTTGAAGCCTTGCATAAGTTTTCATTCTCGAGTTTATCACTATCTCTGTGTTGAATGACGTTTAGGGCAGTCCAACCACAAGCACAAGTGTATGACTCGTGACTAGGTGGTAACTACTCAACCAACTAGAGGTCCACGTGTAGATGTAATCATCATCGTGGGTTTCTCACAGTGTTTTGCATTGCTTAAAGGTTTAGTCTAATGATGCAAACTTAGTCGCTTCTTCGTTCCAATTTATGTATGCTTCCAGGGGTTCAGTTGTGTCCGACATTTTGTGGTAAAGGATATGGGCGACCTAGAGGTAGTCCAAGCAAGTTGGGCAAAGGACCGACCTAGGGTCCGGTCTATTTGTCGCAGACTAGCAGGTTTAACGCTCGCCCCTGTCGCCCGTGAAAGTACCACTGCCAGCAGGCACACTACGCCTGAGGACACCCAACTTTTTTCAGCCACGGCTTTTTCAGTCGCAACCGTTCAACCTTCCACTCTTGCTACTGATTCCAATCTCAGTTCAACTTCTGTCGGGATCCGTGGACGTAGGCCTCATCGTCAACGTACAGCGTTCTTGCTCAACGACACCCAGCGCTCCATCAGGTTAGCTGCAGCAAAGCTACACGTGAGGCTCTATTCGGATGAATATTGTTTGCAATAGCTTTTCGTGTTCGACACTCGGCCTTATAGTTCTAGTCCGCTGGTACACGCTGGGCCTAAGAACGAAGTCTAGATTGTTGTAGGTTTAAGCATGGTATACAACAAAAGCGGCAAGCCTATTAGAGTGACAGCATACCACCCCCTGGAACCCCCTGGAAACCTCTGGTTTCCCTTCCTCGGCTCGTACTCTTAACAATAGAATACTTTAAGTACTACCAAGTGTACCTTAGCAATATAAAAATTCAGACCCAAAGAGTAGGGCCATAAAACACGCATAAAGTCTCTCCCGTGCTGGGAGAA